CTACTTGACTGAGCATCATCTATCTTTTATCCTTGACTGTGATCTGACTCCGTGTATTGTTGTGAAGATTAAATATTGTATCCTGAAGGTGTGGTCAAAGTCCTTACTCCAGATTCAACTCTTACTGAATTTTGTAACAGTAACCCTGAACTTCACCAAGTCTCCAGGAGCAGTCTGCCCCCTAATGGGTATGAGTACTATATGCCAATCCCATGCTAGCATCCAACCGGAAAAGGAGCAGAACGACATCTGAGCAACTGCTGATGCCAAATAATTGTTGTTTTTTATGCTGAACTACGCAACGTACGCAAACAAAAGTTTGCACAAAATAAAATTTTAGAACATAAAAATGAAGACATATACTAACGAACATTGCATGAATGTACTGTACAATGTTCATTTTTAAAATCATTGCATCACCATGAAAGACACATTTAAAAATACAAGAGCCTGCTGAATTCTTTCTATCATATATTAAGAAATCAAAATTAATTCCGCATGTGTCACTTTTCCTTCACCAGGAAATGCTGTTCAGTCCCAAATTGGAGAGCATTAGTTCAGCAAATTCTTAATACATGACCTCTACAAGTAGTTTTCGGAAAATATCATTCAAACTCGGTGCTTTTAAATTTGGAAAGTCCTCGTAATTCTTTACAGTGAACATTCATCACGAAAAAATCCCAAGCTACTACAATAAAATTTTCAATAGAAAACTATCGAACACAACTTCATGATTATGCATCAAGTTCTATTCAACAGTTTTTGCCTCACAAAAAGTTTTAGTTTATGTAGCCCTTCCCTGATCAATGCACAGACAGCAGATTCTGTGTTTTTGCCCCAGTGTGGTGTGAAGCATCACATTGTGTATGTTCATAGGGAGCAATGAAGTGCATGGGAAGAGAAAAACCGGTTTATAAAAATCTGTAGGATGCTTGGACTCGTAAAAAAGATTTATCTGTTTGCCCTTTCACAACAAAATGAATGGTGGCTAACGCCAAATCAAGTTCAGTGAACACAACGAACTGAAAAGAACCATTCACAGAAAGAGAAAAAAAAAAAACAACAATAAACGGAGCAGTGGGACACACGGGCCGTTTGAAGTCTTCCGCAACGTACAAACTTGTGTCAAGACCCTCAATTAGGACCAAAATTCTCCCCCTCCATTTGCATCACAAAACATATGTTAATTATCCGACCAGCAATGCGTTGTCGGTTGCATTTCTCCATCGCATTCCGAGCTTCCATCGGATTCCTGAAGGCAACTCGCGCTTCATCCGTACTGCGACCCCGTTCATCAATCTTCCTAAGCACTGCACTCTGCAAAGGACATTTACAGTCGTAACACGCAATTTCTTTCAAGTCTTCGCGGAACATACCGAGTTCAAGTGAAAATCCCTGAAAAATTCCAGGATTTCATCGTTGGTTGCCTTGTACGGAATGTTCCGCAACTGTAGAACGCAGTCCGTGCGACGAAAATCAAATTCTCCCATCGGCTGCTGTTGCTGTCCACCAGGATTCATCATCACTGGACCTCCACCCATAGGTGCACTCAAAAGCGGCCCACCAACGTTCGACAAAAGAACAGGAGGCGCCATTCTTGGCCCAAGTGGTGGTCCACAGGGTCCACCGTTCATGTTGAACATCCTGGAATACGTAAAAGAAATTATCTCAGAAACGCTCCCCCAATACTGAACAGCATATCCAGTAAAAACTCCATTTCATTCTAATTTCTAACACTACTCCTGTGAGAGGTAAAACGTTTTTCCAATGAAACCTACTCATAAAAGTCTTATCACGATTTTGATTCAATCCAAGCATAAAAAAAAAGCTATTGTCAATACAGTACCTTGGTAGTCAAATGACATTGAGTGAATTAAAGGAAAAACCTCATCAAAGCCCGGAAACAACTGTGTCATGGAAATCAACCTTATACAAAAACAGCAATACAGCCGTATTTCAAAATAAATTCAAGTGAAATTTTAAAAAATGTAACCCTCGCAATTATTAAACGAAAAAATTACACAAAATGCTCGATAACAGTAAGTAAAACGCGAAAATAATCAGAGAGGGGAAAACGCTCCAATTTCCAACATGAACAAATTGAAAGCCGGGGGTTTAAAAATATCTTGGAACAGTTGCATTAAAACTAACCGATTCTGATCCGCAGCCCAATTTTCCATATCCGGCGGAGGCTGCAACAAAGCCCGCCGTTCTCCAGGTTTCTTCTCCGGCACCGGCGCCTCATAGCCGCCCTGGAACTCCTCCGGACGTCCGTAATTTCCTCTATTCGGCGCCACATCCGTCGGGGGTTCCAGAAGCGTACGATTGGTAGAAACAACTGGCTTATCCACAGGTCGTGCCGGCGGCGAAGCCTGTTCAGAAATAGTCGAGTTCATCTCTTCTCGCGTTCGCATTTCTACGCGCATGACGTCATTGCTGTTCGGTAGGCGACTTCCGGATATATCCACTGCTCGCGACGCCAGATTGGCATCACTGAATTCACAGAAAAAGGCTCCAACGGGTTTCCCTTGCAGATCCCTAACGATGTGAACTTTGGCCGGAAACAGTTTGTGGATGGCAAAAATTGCCATGACGTCAGATTCCGAACTCATCTGCAGGCGTAAAGCAGGAAACGTGGGTGAGATTGCTGGTCTACAGAATAAACTTTTCAATCTTCTCTTAAAAGATTTATAAGGTTTCTCTTAGAAGTCGTACACCCTCTAAATAAGTAAAAAGGAAATTTGTTCCTACTTGAACAGTTTCATCATCACTTCTCATATACAGTACTATATTTTTTCTAGCGTTGAAAAACTTAGAATACTGTATTACGTTGGGCCATCGTAGAATTTTTTTAAACGCTTTGATGACATTCTATTGATGCTCAACGGAATAAACTTTTCGAATGTTCGCTTTAAGAATTTGAATATCCGTGAACTACGCATAACAAGAACGAGGAATTCGTCATTTCCGCTCGAGAAATTGTATGCCACTAAAAAGTTAAAAATTTTCGAGCTTTGAAATGTGGAAAAATGTCAGTGATGCAGTGTTGGGCCAAACTTGAATTTTTTAAACGTTCTGATAAAATCTGATCGCTTTGACAAAGGCACTCAGTCGTTGGTTCAAATGACTGAAGTCGGGTACAACATTAATTTCAGATCTTGAAAACAAATATCAAGAAGGAAAAAACGCACCTTCGGGATCCCAGAAACAAGCACGCAGTCAGACATAATGCGTCGGCCGGAAGACGCAGCACGAACACCCAAATCTCTAGTTTCAGAGTTTCTCGCTTCCCTCTCATTCGGCGGTTGCAAATTGCATCTCTCAAACACTTCCCTTTCAGGGCAAACCCTAACTCTAACCTCAACATCCTTAAGCCTCGCCTCATTCCTACGCTTCACAGCATCTCTCGCCTCAGGCGGACTCGACATCTTGACAAATGCAGTCTTCACTTCTCGCCCCATCTCGTTATGATTCGTTATATGCACGTCCTGCACGTCGAAGTCCTTAAAGAATTGACCAATGTGCAGCTCGCGGGTGTCAGATGACATTCCTTCCAGCGCTACCCAAACAGACGTAACATCACCAACGCCGCCGCCGCCACCACCAACGCCGCCGCTGCCACCACCAACGCCACCGCCATGTCGAGAGTCGCCCCTGTCACGCGATCGTGAACGAACAGAATCCCGGCCTCGAGATCCGCGATCGTCACCGGAATTGGGCGGAGATCGGCGACCAAAACGTCTGTCCCGGCCGGCATTCGGCGGCTGGTAGCTGTCGACAGCGTCTTCATACTCGCGTTCGTCACAGTGACACACCGACACTCGACGCCCATTGAGATGCTCTCCGTCGAGACGCATGACCTTATCTTTGTCCATGGCAGAAAGCACGCGAACGTAAGCGAGGCCGTTTCGGATCCCTTCGTCGTCGTTCAAGATCTTCACGCCGTCTTCGGGTATTCTTACGCCTAGGAATCGTTTGACGTCCCTATGAAGCCAAGGTCAGGAAAAAAGCCAAGGGTCAATAACCTGATCATGAATGAATTTCATGGATTATTTCGTGGTAAGTTACCGTGTGAAGATATTAAATATTGCGGTTATGCCCCGGATAATACACATCTTGCATAATGTACTTTCTGTACGAAAAATGTCAGAATGTCACCGATGCTTAGTTCAGATAGCTAGCAGACCCGATTTCACGTTTTTCAGCCCTTCAAGAAAATTGAAGTTGATGCGAAAAATGTGTCTAGCGATATTAATTTGCAAGTTGATCTATTCGATCAATAAATGTCTTGATTGCATACATATTTCGTTATAGCTGAAAATTTTTATAATTTCTAAACGTATTCACTTGAAAAATCATACGAAAATTCATGGAAAACCTTTTCAAAGGAATGGAACAGATTAGATGCTTTCTAGAATCCGAGGGCTTGAATAAATGGGCTTGTCGTGTGGGGCAGAAACTTTTCTGTTTTAAAATGCATGTTCTTCTAAATGTTTAAATGACTCTGTTAATGCACGTTCCCTGGAACATGTCAAGTTCATAAACCCAAGTGTACCAGGGCAGCTGCCAAAATTTGAAAATGTTTCATTTGATTCATGATCAGTGTCCAGCAAATCTTGAGGACCTCCTTCAGCTTCTGGGCATCTATAGCTATCAAGATTCCGCAGGGTGAAAAAGAAATTGAATTAGTAAAAACTTTTAATTAGCTGATTAAAACTAAGATTAATAACTCCAGATTTTGATTTTTTTCAATGTTGCATGAAATTGGTGAGGGGGGCTTGGATTTTTCCTTTTCTGGGGTCTGACAGCTGCCCTAGAAGTCTCATTATTACCTCTTATTACAGATGTGCTACAGTAGAAAAATTATCAGAATTCCTGTGTTCCATACAATCAACCATGAATTCGATAAATTAGTTTGTACCAACTATCACCCTCGCAACTGTGCTAAAATTGACACGATTCCGCAGCTTCGAGACGATATTTCATTGATTCCAGGGTTTTCGGTAGATCCGAAGTATCGTTGTTATGTACCTGTGCAGCTTAATCAAGATTACTTCTGTATGTCGCAGGCTTAGCATCGCAATAATAACCAGGAAAATCCAGTTCTAACCTCACAAAAAATGAAACATAACTCGGAGGCTCGATATAGATTGAAGACTCGTTTCTGCAGGAAATAGTTTAGTACAATATTTTCATTGCTTGTGTCATTGTGTCGCTGTAGTGAGTTGGATCGATGCGGGTTCAACAATTACCTCAAGACATGTGAATTTCCCATGCTTCTAAGTATTTGTTGTTCATTCTGAAGTCGGATATCAAGATTTTTCTCAAGAGTTTCACACATGATGACATGAATGAAGTCAACAATTCCCCAGGACAGAAATAAAATTAACTGCGGCATTAAATAAAGGAGAAAGTAGAGTATCAATTTACTGGCAGGTTTTCAACACTTCTTACAAAGCCGTATTTGACATTTTTTTTTTGCGGCCGGTCGAAACAACTGTACATATCTGTATGTGGCTGACAAATTACAGTACTGCTGTATCTGCAGCTGAAAAAACGGCTCAATGTTATGGCATTCACCTTAGAAAGAATTGCAGGATATTGAAATTTGTGTCATTCTTGACCTTAAATTGCTTCTAAAATGAGTTGACAGAATGCTGAACTTCAAGGAAAGGGTTTACCTGCCAAATTAGCCTTTCACAATCCGCGAAGTGACAATTTTATTGTTTTCATCTGTCATGTGTCAATGAAATAATACCCAAAAGGCATTTAGAAAATTCGAGTGATGGATGTTCTTAATGCTTTTTTTCTTCAAGGAAATTCCGACAGGGACTTGAAAAAATTGGACATACGGCGGTATTTGACTTTTAGTGAAGTTCGAGTTGTGTTTCAACTGCATTTGAGATCTGTAGGTGGGTTTACAAATTTAAACTGTAAGTGGTTCTACGTGAATACACTGTACATCCGATCAAAAATATACTACACACGAGCCAGATCTCCTTTCAATTCGGAAGTTTAAACGAACTATCCACGTCAGCAATGTCCAAATAAAAACCAGGAAACGGCTGAATCATGTTCCGTGTTGTGTGATACACTTTACATTACTCGCATGTCGGCGATGACCCTTTCGTGACAGAAGATACATAGTTCTTGACGAATTTTTGACACTCAGAATATCAAAACCGAGATTCGTGGGCAAAAAAAAAAAAGGTGATGACCAGTAATGATTCGTAATAACTTGATATTCGGTAGCAAACCAATTACCTGTAAGAAACGTCTTTCGGAACGCCGCGAATGAGGACACAAAATGCAGACGCATTTTGCATTCCAGAATTCCATCCAGGCCCGTCCGGTCCACGGGCTCTCATTCCAGGTCCTCCTCCTCCTCTGCCCATATTCCCGGGAGCATTCCGCCCAAAACCGCCGCCACCGCCCCCCTGAGCCGACCAGGCGCCGCCATCATGCCTCACATTGTCACGACCACCGCCGAAACCACCGCCACCACCACCTTTGCCCATTCGTCCTCGAGAATCCACATCCGACATGTTTTGAAACCTGTCCTGATTCGATTGGTTCGCGTTATTGAACCTAGAAGCTTGCTGCTGCTCTCGATCAGGTCCCCAGCGGGTGCCACGAACCTGCTGTGGTTCCGCATTCGGCGGCGCTTCTCCCAATAACCCACGACGAGGCGCCGGTGGTGGTGGTCCCGAAGACTGCGGCGGTTGTTGTTGTTGCTGCTGATTTGGCCCATTGTTGTCGAACCTAGACGACCCTCGGTCACGATCCCTCGATCTTGATCTCACGTTTCGATCGCGACTCCGACTCCGCACACGACGATCCCGGTCAAACCTACTCGGTCGTTCTTCATCGTCACGCATAGGACCTCTTCTCTGTTGTTGCTGTGCTTGTTGTTGTTGATGCTGTTGTTGCTGCTGCAGTTGCGGGATCTCAAACCTCGCATTGTTCGCATTGGCTTCGGGCGGCAAAAGGTTAAACATTGCCGTCGTATTAGGAGCGTTCATTCCGAAACCGGGCATGCCCGACCCTTGGGGCCTCATCGGCGCCACCATCCCAGGAGTATGCCCATCAAACATAAACGGACTCTGATTCACTTGCTGCTGTTGCTGAGACGCCACAGCGGCGGCGTTCGGCTGAGCCCACATCATCTGTTGCCTGGTGAATTCACGCATCCCTGGGGGCATGCTGACGAAGATCGACGACGGATTCAACGCGCTCATGGCTGCCATCGGAGAGACCATTGGAGGAGGGTGGTCATTCGAAGGGCCTGAAGGTGCGGAGTTTCCAGGGATCCCGGAAGGAGCGACGTGGTGCTTTTGCTGGGCTTTATCGACGACGCTGTGCATCTCGTTTTTCGAACTGAGGAGCAAGTGTACGCTTTGGTCTTTCAGGAGTTGGCCGTCCCGCATCATGGCTTGTCGAGCGTCGTCGTCGGAGCTAAAAATTATCGACATACGAGAAAACACACATTTTGTTTGTTTGTTTGTTTGGTTTTGGCCAGTGTCGATAATCGGCGTTGAACAGTCGCAGCACAAAATGGAAGAATGATGAAGAGAAACAGAGAGAAAGAGATACACGTGATAATGATTGGATGGAATTGCAGTTCCGTGACGAGAGCCGATTTGGAATGAAGGCATGTTTCACATAGCAGAAGCACGCTTTGAAAAAGTGACAGTGACAAATTCATCAGAGATTCGTAAATGCATGTGCTGGAGAAGCTTTGGGCATCTCCAAAACACACTATTGGTGCAACAAATGAAGCTTGGCCAGCTGAGAAATTTTGAAGTACCTTCATGGTGAGTACTACGAAGACACTTCAGAGATCACCCAGACCTGAAGGAACTGGGCTACTCAAACCCAGTCCAAAAACAAACGACTGAAAGGAAGCACGTCGCAAGAAATCCAATTTCGAGTCGGAAAAGGGTTCCGAAAATTATGTCATTTTTTCTCTACCAAATCTGTCGTCCATTGGTTCGCGAATGAAATGGCTCGACTTCGTGACTTTATGAACACAAAATCCGACGCTGCGATCGAGTGCGACAATCAACCCGATTCTTTACATCAGAAGAGCTTCGAAAATAGATAATCGCAACAGTATCAATGTTTTCGTCACCTGGAAAACGAATATGTCCGCGGGGATGGTCGGGGCAATCGATGCGCGGACCACGCAATTGTGTTCATCTCGCTAATAACTGTATGACGACACCGTAAAGGCATAATCCATCACACTAGATTCCGATAAACTAATTAGAGTGATATTCGATGCTTGTGGTTGTAAAACCGCCAATAACCATGTGTCCCTCATCAGCAAATTCGCGTCAACCTTCCGAAAATGTTCCCGCCTTCTCGAAACCTGGCGAAAGTTCTTGAAAAACAATCACGCACCTATAAAGTAATGTGCAGATAATGCGACGAGTTTGTGGTTGTAGGATGGTTCCAGCAATGATATTGCCTACCAATCTGGCAGGAAACGAGGAAATATTCGTTGTGACACGCGTGCGAAGTTCATAGTTCGGAAAACGACAGCGAATGAGTTAAGAATGCTTGGACTCAGCAGGGGTTATTTCATCAAATTCCCGAGTTGTGCCAAAATGATATAGATATGATATGTCCCATCTGTTTTGGGACACAACCATTTCATTGCCTCCTCCCCCTATCCTAACCCATGTCAGGCGAAAAAGCGAGGCCAAAAATATAAAATCTTCAAATTATCGTCAATAATAAAAGTACCGTATTTAACCTTCAACTCAAATTTAGCATGATGCATAACCTCAACGTCAACATATTTTCTAGTCACATGCAGATTATTTCTCGAACATCATACTTCGAGCATGATACAAAATAAAGTGAACCTATGCCCCGACAAATGTACAAAATATGTGTTGGAACACATTTGGTTTGAAGTACGAGGCAACATCGCGCTGGCAATGAAATACTCGAGGCTTCTTCCAATGCATGAAAACCCCAAAAATCAGTTATTTGAACACATCCGCCTGTGAACATGAAGTGCAGAGGATGATGCATAAAGGTATCGGAGAAGAGAGTTCATCACAGAATTGCTGCTTTCAAGCCTTGATGAGAACCAGAAGAAAAATAATATAATTCATTACAGGACTGAGGCTTAGGCAGTGTAGTGTCAACGGTTCAAATTTTAAGAACAGTCCAACACATGCAGTACACTTTTACACGATATGCCCAAGAGGTTGTACAGCACATATGCGCAACTCATCAGTAAAATTCATGAAAAGATTTACAACCTTGGTCTGTGCATCAAGCAGAGCTCTTCTTTTTACTTCTCCCAAAAGTGTATGGAGTTTGTGCCTTAGCCCCAGTGTGAGAAGAGGAAGTTGTCTTCTTGACAGACATCAGGAAGATTGATTACAGACTGGCAAATTGAAAGACATCTTCACAATGCTTCCAACACCTTTCAAGGTGATACGGCACCAGAAACCTTTCCAAGCGTTGGCACAGTTCAACACAATGCGCAGGTGAAGACAGTCATGGGGTTTTCCAATGTTAAGTGGGACTTCCAGGCAAAGCTCACATTCCAGACTCCTTTCAAAGGCCTAGAGGAGACAGCACAAGTTGCTCAAATCTAATTGCAGTGAGAAACTGCTTTGTCGTCTTATACTGTACGTGCTTCAAATTTTCAACAGATGTGTCAATTGAGGTCATTCCAGGGCATGTCTTTCAGCTGGCCTTGCCTTTTCACCACACCAGATTTCTAGTTTAAACAAGACCTGTAATTGGCTGTGGGTGCGAGCCACTTGTGCCCATGGTCACATGAACCATCAAGGTGAGCATAAAATGCAGCAAAATCTCACAATTCCGAAGATCAGAGCAGTTTACCATGACCAGATGTTGCAGCACACCGAAGGAAATCTTGAGATTTTCTAAGAAGTAATATTGTATACCTGAAAAAATTCAAGGTTGGTTGCATTGCATTTTCACGTTGTGAAAAAAAGAGGCAGAATGCATCCTCTGAGGAGTCCGCGCAGTAACTTCTCGTGGCAAACTTCAGGCTGTGTGTTTGACAATGTCACTCAAGTTCAGGGGTCTACCATAATGCAAGAAGCCCCTAGATTTCCTGAATTTTCAACAGGACACTTCGTAGAAAATACAAAAATGGTCAGGGAGAAGGAATCTTCTAGGTTCATTCAAGGCTAGGATCACTCAAGGTAGGCCACATCGAAAAGTGTAAAAAGCGCTCTACCAAGTCCATTTTGCACATTCGCGCTTGTCCTGCAAAGCTCATATCACCGCGGAGCCAGAGTTTTTCATCACTGTCGAACTTGAATAATATTCTCGGAGAGTTACAACAATGGGGCGGACTTCCGCGTTCAATATTCCGCACACTTTCCCGACTGGTCACTGGTCTCCTAATGGAACGGCCCCACAAGACCCATCTCCGCAGTGATTTCACGAAGACGACTTCTCCAAATTCATTCTGCACGCACATTTTGTAGAAGCCTCACAAAGGAGCCCCGGGTTTTCCGAATCCTTAATGCCGAGTTATAAAGAAGTTCCTTCAATCAATGCTGTGTGCATAGTTGGGACACGAAGGCTTCCACCTCCCCGAAAATGGTCGCAAGATCGACTTTTTCCGCCACACGGTGTTGATCCACCTTAGTTGCGGTTTCAACTTTCAAGCAACCGCTGTCCAGTCGATCATCATCAATCCGGCCGATTGAAGCAAAAACCGTGCCTCGGTGGGTGATGTGCTGGCTGCTGTTTGGGGGCCTGATGTAGCTCATTTACGGACTGTACGAAGAGTGATTCCAGCGACATTTTTCTTGCACTTTATTTTTACATTATACATACAGGTATTGTATCAATACGGGTAACCCGAATATAAAATTTGACAATACCTAGAGTCCTAGACCGTCTACTCAGGACTCTGTATACAGTACTGTAAGTGGTTTTCGCAGAAACAATTTGCATGAAGAGATATTTCTTTGAGCATGATTAGAATGAGGGAGGAGAGATCTACGATTTAATCGCAGCTTTTGATGGAATTTTTCCCATTATAAGAAGAGATTTACTACAATCAATGCATTTAAAAGTACGATCAATTCATGAACGACACAAGACTACAGTACTTCGTGCATTGCTTCGTCAAGAAGGGGTTGGACAGATTTTTGCCGAAGTTCGGTGTTCAATGTGGTTTTCACTTCATCCCTCGTTAAAATTTCAGGCGTGTAGTTCCTTTCAGCCATGTTGCAGTGTTTCAGAGGGTGGGTTGGAAGATGATCGAGGAACAGCATTTACAGTACAGTATCTACTCACGCGAACACTAATCTGCTTAGGCGGGTGCACCTCGCACGGGGACCAAAACGGGCAATAGCTTCGAAATTTGGGATGCCTTCATTAGTCACGTTCAGTTTCCATGGAACTCATAATGCAGCAAATTGGGGACGAAAGAACCTTAAATGAAGATATTGAACAAGCACGAGTTGGTTCTACCATGTAAAATAAGGTGCATGATTTGCTTGACACGGTAATGCATGCTAAGGCTTTCTGTAGTAGAGCATACGTTTCTGTTCATTAATATTTGTTGTGGCTTTCGAAGTACTGTAGAAGGAAAATTGACCCTGAGAACAACGGTGGTTCGGTCACATGTGTATAGTGCATGTTCCTCTATAATTTTCAGCAGGTTTTTGAATTAATATTTCTCGCAATTTTGAATGCTGCGAATTTTCTTCCTCGACTTACACCCCAAAAGATGCATAGCTCGGATCATGTGACACAAGAAGACATGAACAGCTTATCAATAGTTGTCAAATAGTGTGTCCAGATTTGTGTAATACCTGTAACTGTTCGACTGTGGAAAGCAAACGAAGTGGAAATAAATTCTCTCAAATCGCCCGAACGTCAAGGAATGACTTCTGATGACAAATCGTACAAGACAAACACATATTAAAAAAAAAATTGACTTAGTCTAAGAAGATATCGTAGCTGAATTTTGACATCTTCAGGATGACTTGTTTCCTCTACCGCTACGTGAAAGTTTTCGACACCACAATTTTCACTAGTAATTTAAAATAATGTTCAATTACAGACGCGCGAATCAAGAACTGTCGAATTAAATCCTGAAAAGGTAAACGTTTCCTGGAAATTTTTACTTGACGTAAGTGTGTTGGTCACGCCATTACACTTGTAGCATGAACAAGATGAATTCAAGAAAATTGGAACGTACTCATTTCATAATTTAAAAGTCAAATTCAAACATCTCGGAGATGTATCTACAGGTACAGTATAACCATTTCAAAGTTTACAAGTTTTCTGTTATTCTCAGCGTGATCCAATACTTGATATTCGTCATTCTGATTTCATTGGCACAATTGCAGATCAATATAAAACAACGTAACTTTTTCTGGGCAATAGAGCAGCTCTTGCACAGGACGAATAGCAAAACGGTGATCATGTACCCCGGGTCTCAGAGATGCTTTCAAGT